TGCCTACTAATTGATATGGCTTGTCCAGCGGATTGTAACATAGCAACCAAGGAATTTGAAAAACTATCAAAATACAAAGACCTGGAAATTGAAATAGAAAAATGTGGAAATTGAAAACAAGAATAATACCAGTGGTAATAGGTGCACTTGGAATTATAAAAAATGGAACAAAACAACACATTGAAAGAATCCCTGGAAACCCCAGCTTAAGAGACATACAGAAAATTGTCTTATTAAGTACAGCACACACACTAAGGAGAACTTTGTCTATGTAACGCTAGCAACTTCATCGGAGATAAAAAAAAAAAAAAAAAAAAAAATTAACATGAAATGTGGCCATAACAACACACCACGACCTGCCTTAGGTCTTTCCGCAGACTTGGTAGGTAGTGTGTCCATAGCAGAAATCGAATGATGATGATGATGACAATAATAATAATAATAAATAATAATAATAATGATAAAAAATAATCATAATAAATAATAATAAAAAATAATAATAATAATAATAATAATAAATAATAATAATAAATAATAAAAAATAATAATAATAAATAATAAATAATAACAAATAATAAAAAAAATAATAATAAATAATAATAATAATAATAAATAATAATAATAATAATAAATAATAGATAATAAAAATAATAATAAAAAAAATAATAAATAAAAAAAAATAATAATAAATAATAATTAATAATAATAAAAATAATAAATAATAAATAATAATAATAATAATAAATAAATAATAATAATAATAATAAATAATAATATATAATAATAATACTAATAAATAATGTTAATAATAATAAATAATAATAAATAATAATAATAATAATAATAAATAATAATATATAATAATAATACTAATAAATAATGATAATAATAATAAATAATAATAAATAATAATAATAATAATAAATAATAATAAATAATAATAATAATAATAAATAATAATAAATAATATATAATAATAATAATAAATAATAATAATTAATAATAATAATAATAATAATAAAGCTAAAACCGTTCCTATTGTGGTTGGAGCTTTGTGTCTTATAAAGAAAGAAACTCAGTAACAAATCAAGAAAATTCCTGGTGCAACATCTCTCTAGGAAAACTTCAAAATGCTTCAAACAACCACATCCCATGACCTTTGAAAAGATTTGTTCATTTATATATGTTGTTGTTGTTCTTAACAGGCGGCAATTGTTTAATTCATTTGAAACAACAAAATATTGCACGCTTAATTTGCACTAGATCATCGGTTATGACCCAGCATGGAATTAAAAAAACAAATTCAGGGAGTCTGGTGAGTGAGTTGAGAAGTGACAGGTGTGTTGATTGACGTTTCAACGATAAAGGGATTTCAACGCCGTTGGGTTATACCTATATCGATATTTAAATAATCTATCGCGTGGGGTAGGGTGGGGGCTACGGAAATGTTTTAATGCTATCAAAACGGACATATTGTCTATAAGAAGAAGAAAAAATGGAGAATTAGAGCATGGATATTAAAATAAATCACCATAAATTGGTGAACCAAACAATATAAAAACAAATAAGCAAACAAAAAACAAAAAAACAAAAAACAAAAAAAACAAGCAAATAACAAAAAAGGCTAACCGGTTTTCGATTCTCGTTTTTTAGAGGACGAACGTGTAATTGTGTACACGACGTTTAAAAATCAATAAAATACGAACTGCAAAGTAATCAGCAGAGGAAAGTAACAAATTAATACATATAACCGCACTCCGATTATATTAAGACCGAGCAGCCATTCCTTCTGCTTACTAACGGAAGGCTACCTAGAAATAATGTTTAATGTCTCTAATATTGTCAAATGGTAATCAGTGTGAAATCTGCTAATTATGGTAAAGAAGTCACATAACATATACACCTGACAGTAGATTTATTTCTCCATAATCTGAAGAGAAGTAATAGGATGTGTGTTATGTACAGATATTATATGCGAGGAGAAGCTGTCTAGAAAATCAGCATATACATTTCTACTGTATACATATTCCTATCGTTGATTCCGAGCACCGCTGTGAAATAATTGACACTTTCACTGCTACTCATTTGCCCAGTGCTGCCCGCATCCGGCCAGCCATTTTTAAAGAAAATGCCAAATTTCAACCTACATATTTTATTACACAGAAAACTGGCACCAGTGTGTTTTACAGCATTCCATTTTCATGGATATACCTGGGAATGACTTACCAGATTAGTAATGGGTATACACATGATATCTTTTGAAGCATTTGGGATTTTACGATGGATGGCGCAACGGGACACTCATACCAGTGGTATGCAAAAAAAACGTAGGTTTCCGTACTTAGCCAGCTGGAGCAAGATAAGAAAAACGAACATCTCCTTAATTAGCAGCGGAAGTGTTAATCAATATCAGTATGCCTCCCCCCCAAAAAAAATCCCCAAAAAAGATCGAGCAGCAGTTTGATATATTTATCTCTCTCAGGCCTCAAATTATTGATCGGTTTAGTATAGAATCGTGGGCGCTTATTGAGGATCGAACTGACTACATAAGACGACATAAAAATCATCCGTTTACATCTACTAAAACGTCGCCCTCTATTACACTTAGCTGAAGAAATTATCGAGAAAGTATTTAGATCATCATTAAAAATATCTGTTAGGGAGGAAATTCGAATCTATCGCTTATAATTGCGTTTTTATCAACGCAATTCTTACGAGGATTTGGTTCGCACTCGGTGACTTACGATCAATAACTTCCTGACAAGCCATTATTGGAAAAAGCTCAGGGATGGTTCTATTTTTGTTAAACGTTTTCTTTTATTCCTATAATGATGAAGGCTCTGTGATTGGTATGGTTTCTGGTTGTTAGAAAGTAAAACCATACTGAGAAATAATTGATAAAAAGCTCATTATGAGGTGCTTCAAAAGTTGAAGTCCAAATGAAAAAAAACGGGAAAATAAAGAAATAAGAAATCTGGAATGAGATTGAGAATGAATTCGTTAAGTGCTCGAAATTCATTTATTTTTAGTATTTTTTCATACAAAAATACGTCGACTATTCAATTCATTAATTAAAAAAAATACTACTAATAAACAAAAGCTTTTAAAGACCTGTCAACTTGTGGATGTCGTCAAGTTTGCAGACGACACATAGAATGCCGTTCTTGTAAATAACGTAAGAGAACGACATAATACCAAACCTAGAGAGAATGCTGTTCCAGTCGTCCACATAAAGAGGGTGATTTTAGCAGACCCCGACAGAGAAAGATATTTTCGTCACTTTGAAAATATGCTGTCATTTTCATCTTTTTACAAATTATTTTTGCGGCATGTATATGCCTTCGCTTGTGTTTTTCTCAAGCCGTCAAAGAAAACGCAAAAATTCTTTTCAAGATAAAACCGCTTCTGAAGCCAGCAATTTTTATAAACTGCAGTAAATCAATACAGAACGTTATTTTCAATGTAAATACTAAACCCTCCGATAATTTATCGATAGGCTCAAACATTTCTGCTGTTAAGCTGCCTCGTGATTATGGATCAGTCCCCTTAAAATCTTACATTTCCAGATATACCTGTTTATATTTCTCAGATGAGGTATTGTAATTATTTACACTATTTACATTGTTCAGACAGTGGTCCTCATCTCTGTTATGATATTCACGTTGATTCAGCCTCTTCTTAAGGAGACATAGCCCAGTGGACAAAAGCGTTGTTTGAATCCAGTGACCTGACTCAAAGAGTTGTGAGCTCAATGCCAGATTACAGATGAACAAAAACTTGAAGAGTTGAAATTAAAGGGAGATAACTAATAATAATACCTCCAGAAGAGGTATGGCACGTAGAACTAGAACAATCTATCCCGGTGGACGAAATAAAGGATTCAGTCCGAAATTTCAATCCCCTGAAGTAGGCCAGAGCGTACGATGGCCGAAACGTCCTGAATATCCCAAAGAAGATGAGGAAAATACTTCGAACAATGTAAAGAGTGTAAATAATTCCCAGATATATCCAAAACTTAGCTTTGTCTGTCACAGAGACAAATGCCTGGTGAGGAGAAATACTATATTTCGGTATCTTTTGCGAAAATGGGCAGAATGAACGGAAATATTTTGTGAAATTGAGATATTTCATATCGTATTTTCAAATAGTAAATTTATTAAAAAGATTGAAGGAATGTAGAAAAATCATTACCTTTAAACTACTCTTCCTCAACTGTGTTGTTTTTATCAAAATCTTCCACCTGTCTTTATCAAAATCTTTCACCCAACTTTATCAAATCTTCTGCCTATCTTTATCAAAGTCTCTCACCCATATTTATCAAAATCTTTTACTCATCTTTATCCAAATCTTTATCAAAATCTTCCTCCTGTCTTTATCAAAATCTGTCATCCATCTTTATCAAAATCTTCTACCCATCTTTATCAAATCTTTCACCCATTTTATCAAAATCTTTCACCCGTCTTTATCAAAGTCTCTCACCTATCTTTATCAAAATCTTTTACACATATTTATCAAAATATTTATCAAAATCTTCCACCTGTCTTTATCAAAATCTGTCACCCATCGTTATCAAAATCTTCCATCTGTCTTTATCAAAATCTATCATCTGTCTTTATCAAAATCTTCTACCCATCTTTATCAACATCTTTCACCCATTTTTATCAAAATCTTTCACCCATCTTTATCAAAGTCTCTCACCTATCTTTATCAAAATCTTTTACCCATCTTTATCAAAATATTTATCAAAATCTTCCATCTGTCTTTATCAAAATCTGTCACCCATCGTTATCAAAATTTCTTTCAACCATCTTTATCAAATATTTACCCGTCTTCATCAAAATCTTTCTGAATCATTTGGTTTTTCAAATGCATGTCGCGTCCTGTGTCACTCCAGGAAAGCAAGACCTAATGAAAATTTTTCTTTACATCACAGGGCTCAGCTATTCTCATTCTTTTATCAGACTATGGAAACATTAGTTTTTATATGCATTAACTTGGGCTTACGGCAATATCACGTCGAAACACCAGTTCTCGTAAGATCCCCGAAGTTAAGCAACGCCGGGCTTGGTCAGTACCTGGTTGGGTGACGGCTTGGGAATACTCGGTGCTGCAAGCTTGGATGTGCGGGTGGTTTAATGGATAACGGCTCAGAATTGTTAATCGGTGATTACGTTAAGCAACGCCGGGCTTGGTCAGTACCTAGATGGGAATACTAGGTGCTGTAAGCTTGGATGTGCGGGTGGTGTAATGGATAACTGCTCAGAATTGAAAATCGAAGACTCGAATTTCAGTTTCAGACGGGTTCGTTATATTCACTTAGGTGCAAATACTTTCTTCTCTCCCCAGCTATAAGTTAATTAGTGGCACTCGTGGGGCACCATTTAACGAGGCAGAAAAGGAAAAGAAAGAAAAGAAGGCAGAAAGAAAGGCGAGACGAACCGTGGGTGATAAGCAGAACATACACACGGCTCAGAGACAATGGATATATTGATAAGTAACAAATGGCGAAAGGGTGTCATTACAATGACAGGGAAATTCTGAGTAAAAAGAAAGGGAAAGAAAGAAAGAATCAGATGTGTTTTGGTAACGGCTGTGTTATCTAGGGGTACGTAAACAAACTGCTGGTCGACTGGCCAAAGAAAAATTCAAAGGAAAATGTTATTTCGATAAGTGACGAAAAACAGGCAACTAAAAGGACTTTGGACAGATAGGAAAAATTAATTTTATCAAAGCCACACGCACGACTGACCGAATTCTTTCGACGGAACATCCTTGGCCTGCGATAATAAAATTATGTTACCAGAAATATGTACCGAAGGGGAATGAATGGGAATTTAGAAATGTCTTTTCGGGGCGACATTGGCCGTGTTAAGAAGGCCACCTATTCTGATAATTGGCGATAAAATACCTGACGAAAACCACGTGTAGAACAAGTGTTATGACCGCCATTGCTCATATTGTCCCGTTTGTGGCTAGAGAAATGATAACGGCGATTAAGAGGAAGAAAAGGAAAAGAAGGGATAATTTTTTTTAGTTAAGCAAGATATTTAGAAATGTCTTTTTGGGGCGACGTTGGCCGTGTTAAGAAAACACCCATGTTGATAATAGGCGAAAAAATAATTGACGAAAACCACGTGTAGAAAAAGAGTTATGACCGCCATTGTTCATATTGTCCCGTTCGCGGCTAGAGAAATGATAACGGCGATTAAGAGGAAGAAAAGGAAAAGAAGGGATAATTTTTTTTAGTTAAGCAAGATATTTTTTTCTTCCTGAAACAAAGCCGCGGATTCGTCCACGCCCGACTAAGACATCATTGGTCGAGTGGTGATCACGTGACGCACGAAGAAGGCTGTCGCCACCTCATCCAGAGTGTAGGTATGAGAAGCTGCTACGAAGAAGTGGGGAGGGCAGTTCATGCCCCTGTGAAGTATGGTGAGAAGGTAGGAGCAAGTAAAGGTTCCCAAAAATGGAAAAGAGTGGAAATTCCTAACCAGAGAGGTGGATATGTATTTAGAATTATCGAGGAAACCCCGACGCCGACAGACCCACCCCGGTTTTGGTCGGCGTCCATAAAAGGAAGCCCTACGAGCAGAAATCAGTTCCAGAGTTGAGTTCAGGAGTTCCAGGAATTCAGTTCCCAGAGTCAGTCTCAGTTGAAGCCGCCTCGCAGGTAGCGGACCAAGATTCACGCAAATTCCGGACTCCTTTTCAACCCAAGAACAATTATTTTGAAGAGCGACTTAGATCCAGACCACCACAATAAGTTTTTTTCGACTTTCGTCCAAAGACACACCGAAACACCAATTTCTTAGAGAGCAAACAACTTGAAGCGTTAAAACTTGCCTAACGGAAAACGACGTGTCACAATCCATAGAACGGGTCGGGAGGTAGATGCAGTCCTATGTATCGAAAAACTAGACATAAAGTTTGTTACCTTTTTCTTTGATACTTTGAACTTTTGAGTTTTCATTTTATTTTATTTTATGCATATTTGTGTGGTATCACCCCCGTTGAACTCGGTTTGCATTACGGCCCCAACCACTGTTTGATCTCGTCTGCCTAAGATCAATTCACAACGTGGGTAGGCAGACTGGGGATCTATGCAGTTACCTTGGTTACCAGGCGTTGGAAGCGAGTTGGGAACGACGAGGCTGATATCAAATCTAACCAGATTCCCACCCGAATCACCAAAAGTTTAGAACGTCACATTTGGGTGCCGCGACCGATACCAAGCCAGTTGGTCGTCACAGGACGAGACAACACGACTGACGCGACAGGCGGACGTCACGTTTGGAGCAGCGACACCCAAACGGAGCAGCGAGGAGCTAACAGCTGGCGCCGCGGTGAGGACGTCACAATTGGTGCTGTTTAGGGACGTCACAACTGGTGCCGTGGTAGACCAGGATAGGACGTCACAGTTGGCGCTGCGACCAGGGGACGACGTCACACTCGTATTAGTAAATCATTATTATCGCCAAAAAATTTAAAAATATATTTAATATTTTCTGACTTTAAACACCCTGCAAAAGGTTGATAAACTGTAAAAAAAAACAAAACAAATCAATCAAATAATAATGTATTAATTTAGAAAGAAGGTTTTGTCGTATTTGAAGATGAAAAAGAATCAAATGCATGCCGGCCTTCTTCGCAAGCTTCAGAGTTATGGAATTTTAGGTCGATTGTGTGACTTAATGCAATTATTCCTGTCAAACCGTGTATTGAAGATTGTTTTCAACGGATTCTCCTCTAGCTCCTATCCCACGAAAGCATGTGTTCCCTAAGGCTCTATCCTAGGACCTACTCTGTTCCTTATCTTCATCAACGATCTTCCTGGCGTCATAGATTCCCAAGTAGCCATCTACGCGGACGACACTATAATTTACTAAACTAACCTGGCCGTTTGTCTCGAAAAGGACATCCAATCGGTTTTGAACTGGGGAAGGAAATGGCTGGTTAACTTTAATGCCTGAAAAAACAAAACTGCTCTCTATTACTCACCACAGAGAACCATCCTCCCCCCCCACCACCATTAGAATATCTGACACACAACTCCACAGGAGCACCTCTTTGCGACTGCTCGGTCTCACATTGACTGCTGACCTGAGATGGAACAAATACATTGAATCAATAGCTTCGTCCACTGCAAGGAAATTTGGCTCCCTATGCCGCGCCAGGAAATTTTTCTTGCCGGAATCGATCCTTCAAATCTACAAATCAACCATTCGCCCTTGCATGGAGTATTGCTACTATATATGGTCTGGGGTTCATTTCTGTTTGTCTCAAGGTTCTTGATAAAATCCAAAGACGGATATGCAATGTAATTGGCCCTGATCTGGCATCTCGTTTGCAGTCGCTCTCTCACAGACGTGCCATCGCCTCTCTCTGTCTTTTTTACAAATACTTTCACGGTAACTGATCCGAGGATCCGTTTTCGCTGGTTCCCAGACTTCATGAATTTAAGCGTTCAGCTAGGCTGGCATCTCGCTCTCACCCTTTCACTGTCGAAACTGTTAAATGTAGCCGACTTCTGCTCCAATAGCTTTATGTCTCGCACCTCTCGCCTGTGGAACTCACTCCCTTTTTCCTGTTTCCCTGATAGCTATAATCTCCAGCTGTTAAAATGCAATGTCAATCGACGTCTCCAGATGCCTTGATCTATCCTCTATCCTTCTCTTCATCTTTTCCTCTATCACTCCTATTTGCTCTGGTTCCAACTTTCTGTAACACCTTGCATGCTAGTGGCTTCCTGCCTTGCTTGGGGTAAAACATTAAAAAAACAAAACAAAACAAAAAACTTTACTCTTATTTGATATATTGAATCAAGATACTATTTTCTCTCAGGGATTAGGGCCACATAATGTTGAAACACAAGCAAAGTTGCGCCTGATATTGAGTACAGGTATTGTTAACCGCTTGGGAATACCAGGAGTTGTTAGCTTGTATATGCAGTTGGTATAATGCATAATGGTTCGAAATTGTTAATCAGAGTGTCTAGTTTCAATTTCAGTTGAACTCGTTAGATTCACTTACGTGCAAATACGCTTGGGAAAGGTATGTATCTCCAGCTAATTAGTAAGACTTGTATAACTAAATCATTATTATCTCCAAAACATTCTTACAATTTTCTGGCTTTAAATAAACAGCAAAGGATTGACAAACCATAGAAAATGAATGAATGAATCAATATTTTCCCTCATTAGTGATATCATTATTATTATTTATGTTGTGGAGTAAATATGACATCCCCGGTAACACAAATGAACTAGGCAAAGGCGCCTTAAAAAAGAAAACCAAGTTAATGATAGTACGTTTGAGTCAGTCGGGGAGAATTTCTAATAAGTCACGGCGAGTCTCCTAAGCGAGATATAATATTATAACCGCTAAGAGTGAGTTATAGCAGTGGCGACGAGGAATCGAGACTCATACGGAGTAGGAAAATACTTTTTTCCTTCTTCCACGTATATAATAACATTGACGACGAGAAATTAGAAATTCGTTGGTTAAATCTTTTTTTCTTTGGTGTGTCCAATAAAGAAAAAAAAATCACAGATATTCCTTAGATATCGAAGAACTATTAGCAGGAGTGGTAAAAGTACAGCAAAAGCAACAGTTGCTGGAACTCCAGAAACAGCAACAACAAAATATAATTGAAATAATACGGAAGAAAACGGAAAATTCCCCAAGTTATTTCACTCCCGACCTGGTGGCAAATGCCATAGCTGAATTCACATACAATTCAGGTGATGCAATTTTCTGCTTATTTTAGAAAATACGAGCAAATTTTCCGAGAAGACTGCAACGACTGGAAAGACGAGAAGAAATGAGACGTTTGTTGAGAAAGTTAGCATCGGTAGAACATGAAAAATACTGTAAATACCGAAAAAACAAGAGAATTTTGCTTTGAAAAAGCAGTAAATATTCTGGCTAAAACTTTTAGCGAGGAAAGCTCGTCATTCAATACTCGTTGTAAGTTTATGAATATGACGAAAAAAAGACGAAGATTTTGTCACATATGCTGAAATTGTTAACAACGAGTATAAAAGATTCAAATTAAATGAACTGCCTCCGAAGATGCTTAATGAGTTAATTTTCGTTCAAGGAAAAAAGACGCAGA